TACATTAGGTGCATAGGTAATGAAATGACAAAAAATATTTACTAAAAAAAAACATTATTATGGTAAGCATACATTCATAATGATGAAATTTGATAAAGAAATCCAACAAGGACGTATGGACGTACATACTCGTCATACACAGTTAAGCGGTTAATGTCTACCTTCATACCTTATAACATTTTTTTGATTGCAAGTAAGTAAGTAAGTAAGTAAGTAAGCATAGCTTGGCTACGTAGGAAATATGCTATGTACGTGAGAATCCAATAATCTGCCGTAATTAAGATTTTTCGATTTTCATTACCAAACCATTATACTTTTGTCTCTGTGCTAAAGCAGTGTTGAAAATCTTCAAAAAGTCCATTAGTTTAAGAAATGGATTGAATACAGATGAAACCGAGGATTGAGTAAAGGAATCGACGACCGAGCAATGACCAGTTTCTTTCAGGACTTTTTCTCCTTTTTTTTCTTGATCATGAAGATAGGATTTTTTGAGCAAAGGTATAGTCCCCCCTAAGCTAACTTCGCTAATTGGTTAGAAAATTTAACTTCGAAACTGCAGCTAAAAATTGGAAAAAGCTTGAAAGCTGAAGGAACCAGTGGTATAAAGAGAGGGGCGTTTAAAATTTTAAGATTGAAAATTAAAGAAAGACCTGTGTGATAAAATTTGTTTAATACTTTCAGACATTTCTGAGAGAGCATGGCAAGGCTGGTTATCGTTAAAATTCCACTTTTCATCATAACTGCCGCCTTGCAAAGTCATGCAAATAAGTATCTATGTTCGGAAAATCGATATCTCTTTATATCCTTTTAGGACCTTTTAGAGAATATTTTAACTAACAAAAAAGAAAATCAAGATGATATGTTCCCTTTCTGTAAGTCCTATTCCTATTGAACTCGTCTAACAGAGTTTATAATGCAATGACATTTGCATATATAAAATGAAAAATCCTTATGTATCCAAATCTCAATTTCATCGCCCTCACAACGCCCAGCGATCCAATAATTATTCCTTCTTCATATTTCCATCCGATGGAAGAAGTTTATAATGCATAAGATCAAGCTAATCGAAGAAAGCTGAAAATGTGATCTTGATTCGCCTTTTGCCCGATATTGGATTGACCTGTTGTTTCGCGATCGTATACATATGTAGTCATATAATGACATCCTGGTAGATAGAAGCCATTGTCCCAAAAAGAGAGCATCTTAAATACAAAACACGTATAAGTCTGCAGCAAGATCTTGATATGAACAACTTACGAAAGAAGTTATTACATAACTTTATAAGCCAACGCGAAGTTTAAATGAAAAAATCAAATCCAAACGCGCATTGTAAACGAATAAATGCTTAGCGGATAACTGCAATATTGGATAAGACGATCTACGTGCATAGACTTCAAATAACGAAATAACTCGTAGTGAAATTTTGATGCTCTAGTTGCCATGTAAGACGTCGCAACGCTTTGCTTATAGTTATGTCTGATATATCAAAATTCATTAATAATGATCAATATTTTCCCATTTTCAACTCCAGCCGACAGTTAAATATGATCGACCTGACATTAGCAGCCGCTTGTTAACCGGACTACTCATCAAATCCTTTTAAAGGCAAATGCAAGGATTACCAAACATTCTGAAGGCATTGCCAGTGTAAATCCCAATAACAATTTAGATTAGATGAATTCCCATTTTCCAAAAGTACAATTTTCTGTCTGCATGCAACGGAAAATTGGTTATCAAACTTCGTCGCCTACTTATACATAGTACTCGCAAGACTTATTTCATTTTTTATTCCCAGGGTTAATTTTTAAAACGATCAAAAACACTTTTTCTTTCTTTAGAATGAAGTTCTGTTCCAGATCCTTAGCACAAAAGACGCTTACGAAATGGTGTTAGTAGGTCATTACAAAGAGCACGCTTATGCTCTATTAAGCCTTTTTATGCCGATATTTAACTTATTAAGATTATGCTCCGGCCTTTCAACGAAATTCTTGCCTTATATTACGCTTAATATAAGATTAGAAAATTACGTACATTTTCTAGTGTTAGACCTTAGCTCCAAACTTAAACTCTTTAATTTTTTTCTTTAGTACTAACAATAGACCTCTGGATTAGTTTAAGAGACGAAATGAATTTAATCTAATGCATATTTTAATATAGTTTTTAATTTGCAGGCCCACTGTTACTTATGACATATATTCTTTAGTAAATATTGTGCCAGATTCCCTAGTAATTTATGATCCATATATCAAATAAGTCTTGACTCTGTAAGTGTGGCACACAAAAGAGCAGAGCACCTACTAACACCTTAATTGAAATTTTAAAAAACAGTTTATCGAAATGATAACAATATTTGTGTGAATAGCGTTTAGAAGCGATCATCGCAATGGAATAATTCACGTGTTTTATGAAAAAAAGAGAGTACAGATACAAAAACTGATGCTTAGTCCCTACACAGCTGAGAGAAGCTAATCAGCATTCGGAAGAGCAAAAAACAAAACAAAATTTAGATAAATTGCTGAGTTCTTTCGAGTGGGGAAAAAAGTCTTTTTACCCATTTAGTAGATACTAAGCAAGCGACACAGAAAAAAAAAAAAAAAAAAAAAAACGTTGAATGCTGCAGAAATGAATTAAACATTTAGAATAAAATAAAAATAAAAAAATTGTATAAAAATAATAAGTTTTGCTCTAAAAAAAACGCCTCATTGCGAATTAATTAACAATTTAGCGGCTGAGGAAAGAAGATGAAAAGAAAAACTTACACAACGTTATAATTGCGAGCATAACATCATAAACATAACAAACAAACCCAAACATTAATAATGACAAACATTTATGAGAATATGTGACATTGTCAGACAAACACTAGAGACGCGGTCTGATCTGCAAGTAAAACTAATAGAAGTGATTCCCCGGTTCCCTGTCGCCCCCCTCCCTCACCCGTTCAGCTCTTTAGGAAATGGGTAAAAAGTGAAATTCTAATTGAGGAGAAGAAAAAAAAAAAAAGAACTCAAAATTTCTCATTACAGCGGTTGATTTTATTAAATGAACGAAATGTTTAAGGAAAACATAAAAAATGTAATTAAATGCAGCCGGCTAAGGCTATGCGGCAATAGAATCTATTTGAAATTTTTTGAGGCAAATTTTTGTGCCACTCAAGCAAAACATATAAGTAAAGCGTTTTGAGTATTAAGAGGCACTCATGTGGCGCATAATGTGTATGTTGTTTTTGTGGGGCAATGGGCGGCGAGTATCTTTTCTATAAATTTGCTCTAAGCTCATCAATATCATCATCATTATCACCATCATCATCAAACAACAACAACAACAATAATAACAGCAACAACAGCAATAGAGTAAATTTACACAAACGTTAGCGGTGCTATTTGCTGTTATTGGTGTCGATCACGACAACAACAGCAGTGTCGGCGTTAGTGAGTGGCGGTGTTTTTCTTTTTTTTTTTTTTGGTTGTTGGTGTGTGTTAATGTTGTGTTGATTTACCTGTAAGATCTAAATGCGATACCGCGCTCAGTCAGTTCATCGTGGCCGATGATTGTGATCAAGTGCATTGTGTGGCAGGTTGTCTCTTAAAGAAGTAATCGCTAATATTAAGCAAAAAAAAATAAAAAATAAAAAATAAAATAAAATAAAATAAAAAAAGATTTTAAAAATATACAAAAACTCTTATAAACTAATCTTTTTTTGCCTTTACTTTTCTTTTTTTTTTTATGTTTTCTTTGTTAATTCAAGAAAGTGTGTACGAAAAAATTCTGTTTATTAAAGTGCATTAAATTTAATTTTTCACGCTCTTGATATTTTTCGCTTAAGAAAAAATCTCAAAAAAAAAAAAAAAAATTCGCCAAGCTACAGCCCTAACCATACCCACAGCTGGTAATAACTTAAAGTCCACAGTTTTACAAATTAAAGTAAAAAAAAAAAAGAAAAAGAAAGAAAAAACAAAAATAAAATAAAATAACCTCTAAACACAAAAGAAAAAGAAGAAAAATGTAAAAGAAAAGAAAAAAAAAAAAAAAAAACGACAGATTAAAGTAAGTGAACCAAAACGTATGCCCTGAAATAACAAAAGGTTCCCAGCTTCTCTTGATATAAAAAAGCGGCTTTTAAAATTATTTCTTATATTATTTTATGTATGCGGCCTTTCGCTTTCGTTCGCCATAAGAAGGAGGAGAAAGATAGAGCTCTTATAAATAAAAAAAATAAAAATAAATAAAAAAAACACCAAGCAGGATCTTCTGAAGCCTAAGCCAGTCGCGGCGCACCAACCAACCGACCTACCAAACAACCATTCATATACATTAAATCAATTCCTGCACTTCGTTTATTGTGTGTATGAAATATATTTTTTTTTTATTTATTTTTTTTTTTTATGCGCATAGAACGCATTGCCACCAGCACTATAACCAACGATCAACGACAACAACAACAACAACAACGCTTGGTAGCCATACTTACGTAAAAACCGCACATAGACCCCAATACAACTCAAACACACGTACACACACAAGTTAAACCGAACAGCTTTGCTACCATCACATATACATCGAAAGTGTTTATGTGCCTTCGATGTCCGAGATTTTCAATATCAAACACTCGAAACGACGGTCAGTACGCGTGCGTCTTTACGATAAGTTTGACGCGTTTTATTAAAAAAAAAAAAAAAAACATAAAAACAAACTAAAAACAAAAACATTATAATAATATTAGAAAAAAAAGAAAAAAAAAAAATGAGAAAAATTAATTGAATTTTTTTTCTTTCAAATAATTTAACAAAAATGCTTAAATTATGTTTTAAAAAAATTAAGATGAATTAAATAAAAGAAAAAGTAGTAAAAATTCACTAAAAACAAATATTTTTTATCGTTTTTGTGCGCGCGTGTGTGTGTGTGTGTGTGTATGTATGTGTGTGTGTGTGTGTACTTACGAGTGTAAAGTTCGAAAAATTGAATAAATTATTTCTTGGCGTGTTTAGAACCGTTAAGATATGCGGTTACTTATGGTTATTGCAATCGTTATATTTGCAATGCCAATAACGGGATTCGGTTGGTAAGTATGCACATTAGTGTGCACCCCTTTTTATCAAAAATTCAAGCATTTCGATTCATTTGAAAAACAACAAAAACAACGAAAAAATTTAATTACTTTTAAGGGAAGCAATTTTCCTTCGCCTTAAGGTCTGCCTACTTTAAGGAAAAAGCAATTTGTTTGGAAATATTGATGACCTTCCAGTCTTAGCTTTTCATCTACATATCTTTAAGCGGACGGACGGACAGACATGATCTGATTTTACTTCGAAAACTCGAAATTCACTTATTCACTTAATTTATTCGGACTAATATGTTGAGCTCGCTACCATTGTCCGCATAACTAATATCAAATTTTTGACGTCACCTAATAAAAAATACCATCACTATCATCGTTTTTTTCTTGTTTGGGCTTGTTATGTGTCACGTGGCCTAACCTGGAACTATATAATAAGCTGCTGTTAAGCCTTAACTTCGTGTTTTCCTAGTAGAGAGAGTTAGAAGTTATATTTTAAAACCGAGTTTTATCCCGATGCGGATGGCGAACTTTACTGGGAGAAAAGTTTACTTCTTTTACGTGAATCGAAAATGTTGGCTAAAACAAAAGCTATTTCGATTTTCATCTGGCTAAGAATTCGTCTCATATTTGCTTACAACAAAAAAAGTGCTTTCGTGTAGGCTTTTTTCGCGATAAGTGGGTAGGTTTAAAATTAGTGAACTTATTAGAGGTACAAAAGATAAAGAAATGAACAAGAATTTTCGACTCTTAGGGGTGACATTTCGGGAACTATCTGTGATTGTTAGAAAGTTGGTGATAAGATTATACCCGCCTTGATATTCCTATCATGGAAAATTCATTATTTAAAATTTTTAGCAATGCTCTGTCACGATTATGTTGGAAAAAAGTCGTCAAAGATTTTGTATGTATATGTTGGCTGCCGTCTGGCATTTGCAGCAAACTCATTTCAACAAAGCGTCGTAAGGTACAATTCAGGATACAATTCGCAAAACAATTCCTGGTATAAATTAGGTAAAGAATTGCGCGAAAGTTACTGCGCCCAGATATACGCTTCTGAGACTATGAGAATATTGAGAACAAAACAAGATGGACGGACAAAAGCTAATGTAATTCATGTGTATATTATGTGTGAAGAGTCTATCTGCACTTTACACTGTGTTAGCGGAGCGGGAAAATAGGTAAGCCATTCACACAAAACAGTTATACTTTACGGGCCCGCCTCTTCTGCATATTCTTGTGTGCGTGAAAAATCTGCATACTTCATACAATCGATAATGGGTGAAATTTAATTCTAATGCACTCTTCTTTAGACATTTTAGAATCCAATACCTGAAATCCGTCGTAAGTTATTGCTGAAAAGGTATTCAAATTTCTTATTCCCCTGTTTTGCCTTTTGATTCGACTATTCGTTTTGTCCATGATTTTTTGGCTTAATCAGGCTCATATTCCAGTCGGACCTGTGAGGAGCTATTGGCGTACCATATGAGACAGGTTTTTTAGTGCTTAATGCCTGGGCTAAGCGAAACACGCACTATAAGCAAGCGAAAGGCTAAACTGATATTTTTAAATGGACTCAAATCTTGAACTGATCGGGAAATGCGAAGAAAAGAGGAGACGGGAAGGGGTAGTTAAGAAGGGAGAGAGGAACTTTTTCATCTTAAATGATCTTAACAGTCAGCGCCAGTGAGTGCCCAGATTGAATAAACCATGCATATGTAACGGTCCCAGCGGAATGAATTTGAAGTGAACAATGATTTTCCTTAACAGCTGTGTTTTCATCCAAAACTAGTAAAAGTAACGGTAACCGGTTGCATCAAAATAGTAAAGATGGAAGCCCAAGTTGTTGTGTAGTAAGCGCAAAAAATTGAAAAGATTAGCAATGTGCAACCAATTTCAGATGACGAGTGGCGCCAGATGGGATGATTCGTTTATCTCATCAAGCGTTAATGAGATTTGCTTTCCCCATGAACCGTTACAAATGTGAAGTTCACTCGACAAGCAAACTTTCATAAAACTCACTGCTACTGCGTCCTTTGATTGGCAGGAAATCATGCATAGTGACTTCTGGACACCTGGCATTTCTGACCATCAATGAATTGTAATTTTAGAGAAGAGAGAAATTATAATAGATTTTTACCATCAAGGTAGTCCTTGAAAATAAAATACTTTCATCCAGGCACAGACATTTGTTGTCCGACTTTTCATATTATTATTAGTGTTATACATAGCAAGATCTCTGCTACAACTAAATAATTTTAAAAAACAAATATTTGTGAATAAAATTAGTATTTATTTCAAACTGTCTAATACTTGGAAAAAAATTCCAAAAAAGTGTCTATGAAATTTTATAAAAATAATTGTATGCTTCACATAAGTAGTTCATTTATCAGATGATTCTGGGTGATCTCTCCGTTTTCAACATTATTTCTCGTCACTCAATTCATTTGAATTATGATCCAATAAAAACACGATATTTCAAAGATTAAGATCTCCATTTCAACAGTAAATATGTCAACATGCCATCAAAATAAACGACAAATGATGTCATTAGAAATTTCCAATTAACTTAAAATAAATCAACACAAATTATCGATACAATAACGCAAATTGAAATCGGTTAAAAAAACAAAGCAAAACAAGAACGCGTTGCACTGCATCTTGAATACCCAACATCTAAAGGAAAACATAGCTGATTGTCAGTTGAGAACGTATCGAACGAGCATAGAGCTTAAAAGAAGGGAAGACGTTTAATACGTTTTTAGCAGTGTGGACAGTTTGAAGACTTCATCACACGACAAATTTCCTTACATTGATGGAACATGGGATCAAAATAGATATTCGAAAAACGTTGATCGAAAATGGATGGAATCATGTTTGCTTGGAGTTTGTTAGCCTTTCAGAAAATAGAAACTGATGGGTTCCGAGAGTATTCGTTTTTTGGATTCAATTTTAATCTCTACCTAAGTGGCAATATATATCCATGATTAAAATTGAAATGGATATCTACTTATTTTGGAAATATTCATATACCAATAAAAATGGATGAGCGATGAAAGGAAATGTATAAGTAATTTCACTACAGTGTGGAAACAGCAAACTTGATATGTAAAATTAATTTTCTATTTGAAAGAGTTATTAGTTGTTGAAGAAAGATTAATGAGAGACAAACAGAAACAACATACCGAAGCATTATCTCTCACAGGTCTAAAACGAATTGAATTGAATTTCAATAGTGAACAACTCTTCATCAATCACTTCATGTTTCGTATGAACCAACAAACTTTGTATACTAATCTCTCGCCATTGTTGCATGCGAAAAAAAATAATAAAAATAAATAAATAAAAAACAAACGTTTTCCACACTCAATTGCAAACTAATTAAATTAGTTTATTTGTATTTTTCCGCTGCCATAAATATCAAACGTTATAGAAGAGAGAATTAAGCAAAAAAAAAAAAAAAAAAAACCACCCAGTCAAATATATGCCACGCCTCAGAATTTCATGTGGAACCTTGAAATCATGCCGCAACTGACTCACTGTACAACAAATACATTAGAGGATTGTATTGAAGCGTGAAAAGTAATGCATCAGATAGACGGCTTGCATGCATTCAGGTCTCATATTCGATGAATTCAAACAATTTTCCACATGTAACTTATTAGAAAAAGAGATGCCGCGCATGATGACATACATATTAATGTTTTTTTTTTTTTTTAATTTTTTAATTTAAACAACTTGAACTTGAAATTATCAATAGGATATCGCTTAACTGTTTCTTTAAAAATTAAAAGCAATTCATTGAAGCCAAATAAAATAAATAAAAAATAATAGCAAAAAATAAAGGAAAAAAAAAAGTGAAAAAGAAGTGAAAAAATTATTAGTTGTCCACCTGCGTTTTTCAAAAATTTATTACCTTTTCCTTACAAATGTTGCAAATGGCACAACAACAAAGAACGAAAAAAAATGAAATTATCAAATTTGTAATTAAAAATAATTAATTTGATTTGGCCGCAATACCCCAGTGGGTGTAAAATATCGTCAGGCAGTCTCATCTCTCCTGACTTTTTCGCTTCTTTTTCACAATTTCGCTGAGTGTTGCTTTTCTCTGCTCGATCATAAAAATCTATTCACGTATTTACGACTGTTAAACAAATGGTCGCACGCTTGCGTAAGTTATTGTTGTATTGCTGCTAATGTTGTTGCTTTGACTAACGTTAGCCAACATACGACGACACACAATCGCACATAATACGGCCACAGCCACAGCTACTTACCAATTGATGCTATGTTGACATCAAGTTAATTTTTCAAAACCATACGAAATAAAGAAGAAAAAACATTTTTTTGTTTTTTTCTTTTTTATTTTTATCGCATTTCTTTTTCGCGCTCATAAAAATAAATTTTCATTAATAGAAAATTTGCCAAAAAAAAAAAAAAATTTCATACAAATTATGACAAAATCAAAAGTTATGAATGTGTTTGTTTAAACCATAGAAAGCATGCCAAAACATTATGCGAAGCCACATGAGCAGGCATATAAATATTCAAAATTGTAGAATAAACAGCGACAAAGTTTTACTTAATAAGCGAAAGGTGGCGAGAGGAGAACAAGGAGAAATTTAATTATTAATTGTATTGTTATTGAAATCGAGAATTAAATGCAAAACTCTACCTGAAGTATAGCGTTATTTTACTAATACAACTACGTTACTAATACTTAGTAGAAGAAATCGAAAGGTCGGCTATGCTTTCTCAAATGATTTTGAACTTAAATTTAAAAGCTAAGCTCTCCTTCCCACTGTGCTTTTCTTAAGAAATAAAGACACTTTGGTGACCCATATCCCACCTGCCCACCAAAATACTGTAACACGTTAAAAGAACTTTTGGGCATTTTTTTTCAGAATGGAAAGTTACAACACATGGACAAATAACATGGACTACATGGTAAACAGCCTATCAGTTCAAAATTTCATCATCAATAAAGAAGCAGATTTATTATGTTC